ACACAAGACTTCGCCAGACAAGACAGGTAAATACTCCTCTCAACAGAAGAATGGTGCCCAGAAGTGGGACGATGGGTATGATAGTAACAGTCAAGTATGGTGGGAGTGTACTGGGAGAGAATTACTCGCAAGTCGCTCAGCTGTTACCTTAATGGAAACCATTAGTAGCGGCTATCAAGCTTTTACTAAAATAGGCGTAGAGAAAATCGATACTAACTAGAGCGACGGCCGGCGGGTGACGCACCGCTCACCACCAGCGACTCCTCACAACACCACCAGCGCAGGGTCGGCAGCTCCACGTGAGGCACCGGTCACCGGCCTGCGACGCAGTCTGATCGTAGTCGATTCGAAGATTTCTTCCGAAGTTACGTAGCCGATAAACTACCCGACAGACAGCTTTCGAGCTTTACAAGTCGAGATAGAATCGTATCGAGTACGCGACCGTGTTCAACTCCCAATAGGGATTTTAATGAGACACGATTCCGCTTCGAGCGTGGAAGTGTCGTAACACTGGACGCGTGTTTGTGTACGTTTGTTTGTAAACGCTCGTCTCAGTTCAGCCCGGGGGGCTCTAACTGACGTGCGTTGGAAGAGCGTGCGGTCCGCGACAGCGACCGCGTCACACTGGCCACTACACCACTCTATACTCGGCAACAAGCGACGCGGCCGCGGGCCTGCAGCGCGGGCCGCGGGCCGCGGGCCGCGGGCTGCGGGCTGCGGCCTGTACCGCGGGCCGCGCGGCCGGCCGGCCTCCACCGAGACCTGTTTCACGAGGTCTCGCGGAAGGAAGTGCTCTATCTACCTACATTACTCACAATCTCACTGAGACCGGCCACTCTTGCAGTTTAATCATATTTATTATTCTAATCCGTATCACAGATGAGTCACGTACCTACATTACATGATACGAGGCTCCGTTGATACAACGCCGTTAATTTTATTTATATTCATATTGTTTTAGACTCACAGAAATTTTTGGTCGTCTGTAAGAGATCGCTTTAAGCGATAAGGCCGCCTTATGATTAGCATATTTATTCATTATTTATATTAACTTTTTTTTATCAATTTTTGTCTCTGTACAATAATTAGTTATACCTATTACTATTTCAACTCAAACAGAAACTTGTTTGCGATGAAATGCAAACGCTAAGGTCATATTGTAGAGCGTGATATATTATCGAAGTCGTCTTACTGTCTAGTAGGTTCCTTTCTTGTTCTCCGTATGACACAAAAAATATTCAAATGTCTTATAAAATAAATTCTTTGTAAAAAAGCTTATTATAAAATTGAAGAATTTATAAATGATAATAATGTTTTTGTAGAAAATATCTAACTTAAAATTCATAGCGCTGACAATGTTATCCGATTGAACAGAGATTAAATGTGAAGCGGTTTGCATGTTCCTTGTCGCATGCCTAATCCTTCTTACTGTAAATCTACTTAAAACAACATTTATATAAAAGAGCCACACACAAGTTTCTCTCTTATTCTTCTTGTAATGCAGACTCGTGAGTCTGCGTTCCGAATGAGTGGTAGAATTAAAAAAAATGTGACTATTCAAAAGTGCTTATATTAAGTTTATTTGTAGTATTGTAATAGTAATAGTAGTATTGTAATTTACTTGTAATTTATTCGACTATAAGAATGTAATAATGTAGGTATATATATATTTTTTTTAATATGTAATATTTTAATTTTGTTACGTTATTTCCACTCAAGTGCCGCGCCGCCCTACTTTATTTTATTTAACACTCCTTCCAGGGGTCGTCTGTAAGAGATTCCGTCAGCGATAAGAACGCCATCTGTACCTTTTTCTTTCTCTAATGTATTGTTGTAAATTATTTTTCTTTATATGTATCTACTTTTAAAATTGTTGCAATAATTACAAAAAAAAAATAATAAATCTATTACGAATAGTAATATCACGCTTTTTCTGAGAATAATCAAAAGTCCACACGCTGGAACCAAAGTGGTCTCGGACAGCGCGGTTTCAGAGGAGCTTCCTCCCGCGTACACTTATACCCAATTTACACTCAGACCGAGTGGGCAGGGAAGTGAGCAGCGCGAGAGTGTAAACACGAGTTGAAACACTTCCCATGCCATTGTCGCTGCCACTCGCGCTGCCCGACGCTCCCTCGATTGTCGGTTTTTCGTGCGCGAGTCAAAGGACTGGCAGCGCGAGTGGCAGCGTGTTTTTACATTCAGCCCTCTCGCTCAGTTGTCGCCCGGCAATATTTCAGCGCGAGTGGCAGGGGAAGCGGCTGAATGTAAACGTAGCATTAGATTGTGGAATGAACTACCGAGGTTTTCTCACGAGATTACAACATGGGGTTTTTCAAGAAGGGTATATTAAGGTTTGTGACACCGCTGGTGCTTCAGGCGTCCATAGGTTACGGTAACCCTTTACCATCAGATGGGCCGTATGCCTGTTTGCCACCATAGTAGTATAAAAAAAAACATAACGGCGAATAAGGAGAGCGCCTCCTCTCATCCACTGGCGCTGTGAGCAGAGGCTCAAACGATGTCAGTTATCTGAGGTACTTTAAATCACTTCAGGTTTGGGTAATCATAAAATTACAGGCAGCTCACGAGCCAAACTGGCCAAAGTAGATAAGTGTGTATTATAGCGACGTGTATTTAAGGTTACCAACCACACTTTATAATAACGTATCCTACTTTATTTTTGGTAATCATTATCATAAAGTATGCAAAAATACTTTATTTTCAACCTTCACTGTGATGCGTAAAACAAAATATTCATTATGGGTACTTAACGATTTATAATTACTGAACGAAATGTTAGATGTCAATTGTGAATTGTGACATTTGTCTGTTGTTGTTTTTAAGTGCATTTAACACTATAACTGTAGTGTTAAAAGCACACAAAAATACGTCTTTCAAGCAATAAAAACATGAAATATGAAAATTATTTTTTTCCCCCTAATATTTTATTTTTTACCTATCCAAACCAGATCGAACGTTTTTTTTTTAAAAAAAAAAGTTGGCAACCCTACGTGTATTAGATATTTCCGGAGCGGCGGCGAGAAGTAAGAAAACGATTTGGGTCGAGCGGCGGTCACTCCCACGGCGCCGCGGCGCAGGAATCAGCTGTCTACTACTCATACACAAGCTCTTCATAGCTTGGGACTATATGACACTGTGTGAATTGTCCTGGGACATTATGTTATCTATACATCTATACATATAAATAAAATTAGAGTGTCTGTTTGTAATAGCCGTTTCTTACTACACGCATATAAATATAAATAGGTACATAAACCAAAATAACATTTGTTACATTTTTTGTCTGTCTGTCTGTTTGTTCTGGCTAATCTCTGAAATGGCTGGACCAATATTCACGAGACTTTTATTGGCAAGTAGTTGATGTAATAAGGAGTAACTTAGGCTACTTTTATTTTAGAAAAATAAAGTTAAATTCCACGCGGACGAAGCCGCGAGTACAACTAGTTTTATATAAAATTATCATGTGACAGGTTTCGTATTTATACTCCTTAGAAACGGCTTTTTAAAAGCGATATTAGTACCTACATTTTCATGGCAAAATAACGTTTGCCGGGACATCTAATTTTCTTATAATAAAAGTAAGTTATCACAGGAACATAATTTCTTAGAACAAAAACTTGAACGTTTTTTCTTGACCGAGTATTGTAAGCTGCAGAGCAGACTTGGGATGCCCTCAGTTGAGTAATTTAAAAGCCATAATGGGTCGGCAACGCGCACGTGACACCCCTGGTGTTTCAGGCGTTCATAGGCTACGGTAACCATTTACCATCAGATGGGCCGTATGCTTTATTGCCACCATCGTAGTATAAAAAAAGTAGTAGTTTTTATTTATTTTTTTAATCTGAATGGTTAATACATACATACATATATTATTCTAACGTGCCCAGACGTCCCGTTTTAAACGGGACTGTCCCTTTTTACAATTACGAACGCAAAGTTGTCCCGTTTTCGGAAACTCCGCGAAATATTTGTGTAGTCGAGCGGGCCGGTTGTGATGTAGATTATTTCTGATAATTAAGGTGAATATAAAAATGTGTCAAGAGTTTCAGTCTTACTTAAAAGCTTCACTAGCTATATAAAAGCAATTTGTTCATGCGATAATACTTAATTTTTAAGCTAACTTTTTTGATTCAATCATGCTGCGAAACTAGTCAACACAAACCTCTCTTGACGTTCATGGTAATGTTTAGTAATTCACGCCCAGCTCCATAGATGGCGCTTTACATAAAAATATATCACTAGCACTCGTTTGGAATGTTCTTTGCACAAAGCTAACTTTGTAAACATATTTCATGAATAATTAATTTCTTAAAATTGATCCTGTTATGTTTGTGTTGTGAAATTTGTCAGTTGAACCAACAAAGAATACTAAAAAATACACACGGCAATAAAAAAAATAATGAAAAATAACATACGAAACTATTTTGTTATAATTAAGAAAAAATACTTTTATGGCATTTATATATTACTAGCTGATCCACGCAACTTGGTCTGCGTTTCATTTCACCAACTTTTGCAATATCTTTCATTGCAGCTCCGCTCCTATTGGTCGTAGCGTGATGTTATATAACTCAAAGTGTTCCTCGAAAACAAAAAGAGTATTTCCTGAGATTAGTGCGTTCAAACAAACAAACAGCAGCTTTATAATATTAATTAATATATATACCTAATATAGATTAAATAGGTGGCAACCTTAATTAAGGTGAACGCAACACTTCCTATTCAATTACGCGGGATATATAATATGGAGTCCAACGGCAAACAATACCCATATTTTAGCAATAAATTTATGGCTGTCGACCCTATATATTATATAATGTAATATTGTATGCAGGTACCCCAGGTAATTAGTTACCATTATCAGGATGCGGACTGCAGTCGAAAGTCTAAAAACTTATAGTGAGGGGTGGCGGGTAGAGGTGCGGGCTGCGGGCGGGGTGCACTTAGTCGCTGCTCGCCGCACTCCGCCGCGCGGGCTCGTACTGTACCGCCGCATATGATGTACGGTCACATAGTTTGCCATACTGTGTTCTACCATTAGCATATTTAAGCCCATGAATACATAGTTACAATGTATAGTTTATTAGATGATAGTACATAGTCCGTGAACAGTACCGTAGTGATCTACTTTGTGAAGTGGCAGTGTTTATTGGCGCGGTTGGTAGTAGCTCCTATCGGGCGGTGCGCGGTGCGTAACGCGACGTCACGTCACCTGCCGGCTCACTGTTCGGACAGTATCGGCACCACTCGTGCACGCTCGGCAACCTTATTGTTTGTTGTAGCTTATGATTGCAAATATCTTGTAATGTTATTACGATGAGCGTAAGAAACAAATTGTTAGAAGAGATCCACCCTCTGGATATAATCCGCGAGGTGCAAAAGTGGCCCGCTCTATATACCAAAGACGGCACAGAGAGAGCCAATTTACATTTCAAAAATAAAATATGGTATGAAATTGGAAAATCGCTATTTCCGCCATGGGAATCGTTTCCGGAGCACGAGAAGTTATCCAAAGGTAGGTTACCCATGATGGTTAATGAGTGCACCAGCCAGTAGGTACACTACGGAGGGGGAGGAACGACCGGCCACGTGCAATCACTATGTAAACATTAACATAGGAACGTACCTATGTAGGTTTTATCTTGTATATGGAATTATGTGAGGACTTGAAAACTTTTTATACATTGTACCTCTATGTACACTATAGTGTTCACTTATTTGTTATTTATGTCTTTTTATATGTAAGTTGTTATCGACATAATATCGGCTCGTTAGCCACAGCTCCACGTCACATACACTACACCAGTTTCTTGCTCATTCTTCTTGTGATGAGTCTATGAATGAGCAGTAAAATAAAAAAACGGGGTTATTCAAAGGTGCTTATATTAAGTTTATTTGAATAAAGATTATTTCTATTCTATAGAGCGTAGATGTCCACAAAAAGTATCGCAAAATACCTACTTATGTGTTAGCGTTAAATCGCATTCATATTATTTGTATTTTTCGTGATTTTTAATAAATACATTTATATATAACATGATATTTAGATAGGTACTGTATGTAGCCTAATGTTACGATAATGCCAATCATTATCATAATGCAATCAAATTTATAGATTCACAATACATAGAGCACTGTTAGTTGGCAAATTATTTAACTATTCTGCAAATCTATCTATAACTGACCTGTTCGTAATAGCACAGTAGGTAGGTCAGAAACAAACACGGCCTGTCCTAGTTGCCGTGTACCTACATTATACATTTACAACCTCGTCTGTGCTCCATAGTTTTTTTTTCAAGCGATGACAATAAATGATGCTTCCGTCTGCGCTATTGGTTTACGCTGGTGGAGCACCAGTGGAGGATGATAAGATGAGAATGAGGTCAGGTCAGTTAATCCATCGTGACAATTCACTAGGAATTTATCACGATGGTTTCAAAGAGGGAACCACATGGAGGTCAACCTGATGTGGTACATTGTTAGCAATGAGGTTATTAATTCACATTACTAACAATCCCCTCCACCCCCAAAAAAAATAATATCTCAGTCATATATGTGTCACATAAAAAATAGTGTTTTTCCGGGAAGTTTGACAAAAACAAAATCTGTGATACATTAGTTTCCTTGATACATTTTTAACTGAATTATGTAATAAAACTACCAGGGCGCATGTGAATTTTTTTCTGATATTATCGTGGCGATTAACATGTTAATTGTAATATGTATTTAAGAGCTTAGGCTTATCACAGACGCTCAGACTACAATGCGAGTTGACTAATTACTTTTTATTAAAGCCAACATTATAACCGTAGTTTTTGCTAATTGTGTTGAGCAGGCGTTATAATTTTTATTATTTGTATACCTTCGAGTTAGTCGATATTATTATGTACTTTTATTACTGCTTCTAATTGTTCCACGGCTAGATGCTATTCTAAATCTATTCTTTATAAAAACCAAAAGGCGAAATGAAATGTATTGTTGAACAGTGCATCAGAGTTTGTTATTGACAAGTTCCATTGTGTGCACTACGAGACACTGTTAATAGTAATAAATACTTTGTTATTGTATTATATAGTATATATATTCTGAGAACTCGTTAACTCTTGGGCTAATGGTCTTTCTGTAAGGACGTTAATTGTTTTCTGATGAGTCATAGCATGTTAAGTAAGAACATCGTCACGGGCTCTGCCCGTCAAAATATTAAAAAAAAAATGTCGCTGGAAAGTTGAAATTTCAATACGGTTTATTATTTTGTTAAATAAAATTAATATGTAGTTTCGCTGAGCACAAATATAAATATAGCTGCATATGCACTGAGCAGTCGATTGTTTCGTCTGAAGGGTTACTTATACTTATAGAAATCATTATATAGTATAAAACATAGTCGCTGTCGCTGTCTGTCCCTATGTATGCTTAAATCTTTAAAACTACGCAACGGATTTTGAAGCGGTTTTAGATATAAATAGAGTGATTCAAGAGGAAGTTTTATATATGTAATACATGTATACCCGGGCGAAGACGGGGCGAGTAGCTAGGTAATATATAAAATACACATGATACTTTAATGGGTATAATAATTATATTACACTACAGTTACCCGCGATTTCGCCTTTTTTAGATAAGATAACAGATATATTGTCTGTCACCGTGATACAATCAACCTTAATTACAATCCTATTTGCTGTGTACTCGTAACAGCTAACGGACAGACACACTTCCGCTTTTATAATATTATTATGATGAGAGATAATATTAGATGCAGATTTGTTTTCCGAAATTGGAATGGTAAACTTGCTGCCGACCCACTTGATGGAAAACACAAACCGTCGCCTATACTCATGGACAGCACTGCGGATATCACATTATCATGTCACACCTGTAATTATGCGATACTCTTACATATAGAGAACTAAAAGTCGTGCCTCTTATGCTGTAATTTCCCTGCTTAAAGTAAAGCTCTCTACAACAGAAACACAGCCTGCAAAGTACATATGTTACATAGCCACTGATGTAGGATGACACTGAGGTACTCACGCAAACTTTTTCCAGTAACATATTGATCCTAACATGTTGCACTATTACAGTTACAGATTTAATGAAAAGATGGCGAAACCTAAGAGATACTTTCAAAAGGCAGTTAGATACGGAAAGAAAGACGAAAGGTGGACGTATAGTCAAGAGGAAGAGGTACGTGTACTTCAAACACATGTCGTTCCTGCTGCCACACCTGGGGAGCGGAGACAGCAGCGGCGTACAGGAAGGCCAGCAGCAGCCGGCGGCGGCGCCCCCGAAGAGGTCACCACCGCGGGTACTACTGCAGAGGAACACGTCCAAACCAGCGAACACCTGCCTGGAGGACATCGACGAAGACAAACACTTCCTGCTGTCGCTGGTGCCGTCCTTCAAGCGGATGAGCGACGATGAGAAGTTGACTGCGAAAGTGGAAATATTGAACGTGATCAAAACGATGCGTACTAAATGCACCAGGAGATCGGACGACGTCAGCCACAGGAAGAGCCCTGACGAGCTGACGGACGACCTCAGCGCCTACATGGACGGCGTCGAAGACATCAAGGTGGAGACGGCCGCCGCCAACAACCCCCTCAACAGCACCTCCTACATGACGTACGAGTCAGAGAACGAGTCCGCCAGCACAGTCGACTCTGACTAACCACCGAACATTACATACATCTAATTCGTTCAGTACTTTTTTTATTGTACTGAGGCAATATTGAAACTGTTCTGGAGGGTGTAAAATCGTCTCGGCGGAAACACGGTGTGAAATCAAACCGGTCTACTCTGGATACTAAATTCGATCCAATAACATTTGAACTAGTTCGCATTTTTTTTAATTCTCTAAAAACACATTTATCCCAAATTTTTAAGCAATTGAAAGCACTAATTATCGTTGGTTAAGTCTTGATTACGCTTCATAATAACAGTACAAAAATTGATCGAATTGAAATTGATATTGTGATTACAAATCAGAGTAGATCTCCTGTTTTTGCTATACTCGATGTGATGTAGAAAACAATTCGGAGCGATTCCCTCCGCGGCTCCGATATGGCCCTCGGCTGGTTGTAAAACGACAAGTTGCTATGAACGAGACTTACAATGTACTCTTTTGACGCGCATCTCACTGCACTACGTACTTTGTTGAATACGACTGAAATTTTTGTTTGTAAGTGTAATTTTGAAGTTTAAATTTTATTATAGTTATTACAAAATTAAATTGTATTGTTAAAATACACTCTAATGTTATCTAATTAAAAAAAATAGGCGTCACGAACATAAAAATGAAAGGTTTAGGATTGTTTAGGAATGGCACAGTTTTGGTGCGATGCGTAATAATGTAACCCATACGTAATGAAACCATGTTACTAATAACAACCTTTCAAATCGAATAGATGTCATTAAATATTCGATAAATATGTAAGAGAAAGAGAGAGAGAGAGAAAGCAGTGCCATCTAGACGAGAGTAGATGGTCAGCACGCTGGTAGACTATACAAATGTTAAATATAAGTAGTTAGGTACCTTAATACATATCTAGTAATCAATCGGAAGGACAATGTATGAACCAACTAAGTTAAATAAAAGTTTGTTAAATAGTATTACAAAACTTGTTTATCTTATATAATCTCACTATCTTTTGCCCGCGGCTTCGCTCGCGTTAAGAACTATTATTATTAGGTATAGTTTTTGCAGCTTTACAGTACTTTCATACAAACTTTCATCCCCTATTTTATCCCCTTAGGGGTGGAATTTATCAAAATCCTTTCTTAGCGGATGCCTACGTCATAACATCTACCTGCATGCCAAAAGTCAGCCCGATCCGTCCAGTGGTTTGGGCTGTGCGTTGATAGATTACTATGTCAGTCACCTTTCGTTTATATATATTTAGATAACATAACATAAAAATGTAAAAACAATGTATACAGCAATTTTACTAGCAGTTTCTTGCAACCCTGACAGTTACAGAAAGTATACATTTTGAAGACATTGTTGCTATATTTCTGTAAGAACGCAACCTGTCATCCAGTGGGATACTAACTTAAGAATTAAGTAGCAAAAGATTCACATGTATCTGGCGCTGTTGGCAAGCGCTGCCAGATGGCGGTAAATCACAAATATATTTGTTGACTCGTATTTCCCTCTGCTGGAGTTGTACTTCCCTCTGCTGGCTAATAGCACAGATAACATAACATTACATACTAATAGCACAGATAACATAATATTACATACTAATAGTATGAGATGTGGAAAATTATACAAATATTGATAGTTGTTATTATTTAAATAAATCTAAAACGTTTTATTACGTACTTATTTTTTTAAAGATCGTTGTATCTTTAGTTTATTTAAATGTAATTACCGTACAATAAAGTGTTACAAACAAACAAACAAACAAACGTTTACTAATTTCAAGCTGTATCTAAACTATTTGTTTATAGTTTATTTATTACATGTTGCCAGATTTTTTTCAGCCTATAAGAGGTAAACGCTTAAATAGGCTAAAAAACGGGAATTTAGTTTTTTACCCGGGACAAATTATCAAAACACAAATTATCGTAGTGTAGATCGATCGATTTAATAATAAAAAACGGAGCGTGATTCGAATACCGGTTAGAGTCAGTCTTACCATATATTATCTGTGGTCTTACTCACTTTAAACTAAGCCTAAAATACGGCATGTCCCAGGAAGTACGGGACGTCTGGCAAAGCTATTTATTAATGTGGTATATGATACTATTATAATACAATTTCACACAATATTATTGCTGTTCTCACACATTATTACATCCTATAACATACGTTAGAAAACCAAAAACGTCACGCGAAAGTCATATTTTGTTTAAATACGATACATATTTACATATCAATTATTCTATTTGAGGTCAACCAACTCAGTTTATTAGTATTTCACACACAAATACAAATTGTAATCAAATAAAAAAATATATAGATATACTAGCTTTGCACGCGGTTTCATCCATGTAAAATTTATAGCCTATGTTATTCTGATGTATAAGCTATATTACTGTAAAGTTTCATCAAAATCCGGTCAGTAAGTATTGCGTGCGAGGGTAACAAATATACATCCATACTCATAAACTTTTGCGTTTATAATATTGATAAGATCTATTCACTCAGAGCAGTGCCACATACAATTTGATTAGATATTGAAATAGTCGTATCTGAGAATTTAAATCAGTAATTATTATTAACATATGTTTTTTAAACAACATTGTTGTTAAAAAAATCTATGAACGCTATAATTTCTTAAAATAATCGACTACTTTATGAAGTTATCAATCCTATGTTTTTGGAACGACACATATGTACTATTGGTACAACTATAAATGAAATATGTACGTACCTCTGACAGTTCTCCGCATCAGGCAGGTGACCATCCGCCGCACGCCGCTCAGTTGTACCCGCTTCTTGTGTTTTTTCACGCCCAGCCTCCTCCCGCACCGCACTCGCTCACTGACACTGTCGCCGTCCACAGTAGGCACAAAATCTACCACCCGCACGTCATTAGTCTGCACGTCCTCGCTGCCACCGGACACTGGCAGTTCTATTGGGGGCAAGGAAAACTTTTCACGGTTCACACACTTGACGGGCCACAGGTTGTCGTCGGAACTGTCCCACGAGGACGCGTCCCTCGGGGGCGGCAGCTGCAACGGCGGCAGGATTCTATGGTACGGTATAATGCGCCGAGTGTATTCGTAACTCTTTGAACTTGAACTCGAGCTAATCCAAATGTCACTGGAAAATAATGAGGACGACACCGCATCTCGTCCAGGTCCGAAACCGATCGTGCACTTGCGAGTCCTCGCAACACTAACGAGGTTAACCGGGTTCTTGTGGACCGTGGTTTTGCCGAGGTCATATTTGAGCTTGGAAGTGGAGGCGCTGGGTACGGTGGAGACACTGGTGACGCTGGTGACGCTGGTGGCCGTGTTGTACGACTCGTTGGTGGAGGAACTCCAGAAGTGGAACGGCGACACGGGCTGCATGTTGATGAAGGCGCGTGCTATGTGGGCGGGCGCCGCGGCCACCGTGGGCGGCTCCGGAGACAGCACGCCGAACGGGTGCGTGAAGTAGAACAGGCAGAGCGGACGCTCCTGGAACCGAACGCGCACATACATCAGCACAGCGCCGGGCACCGTCCGTTAACTCTTGCAGTCACGTTCCAACTGTACTCTAAAATTGAGAAGTAAATATTGAACAAACCTTTATATCATCATCTGTAGAAGTGGAAGCGTCCGTTCTCTGGGTGTGCATCGTCGGATCAGTGGGCAGACATAAAGGAAGAGGTGCATGGAGGTATGTGAGAGCATTCCAACTGTAGCCTCAGCATTTGTTGGTATCGTCTCGCTGTTTTCTATATATTTATATATATATTTGATAGTAAAGAATATGAGGGCAGGTTTTATCACGGGCGGGCGTCGCGGCGGCGCTGGGCGTCGACTGCGGCGGTGGCTGGTACACGCGGCGCCGCTCCGCCACGACACCGCCCGTGGATGACTTTAGATACTGAACAGGGGCGTATTTGTAGATGGAACAACATTCATTCTTCAATTCTTTTGTTCGAACACGCTTCGTGTTTGCTATTTTCAAATAATACCCATTCTATGTAGAAGCCTAATGAATGTAGCTGATTTGTTATGTATTCTTTGATAAGAATTCTTTATCTAATAATGAGTTAGCCTATCAGGCTTCACACGTCTGTATACGAAACATTAATAAGAAATTAACTTTCATCAAAACATACACTCGTATATATTGAAGCCGTGAAATTATATTATATGTATATATTATATAAATTAACTTCGTTTGAAATTATAAGTAATCTATTAGATATTGGTTTCAATTCCGAGCTGTTCTCTTATAAAGTGCTAGTTATATATGCATATATATATATACTGACTGATCCGCCAGGGTTGATGGTAGAAGGTCGAAAAGTTATATATAAAATTTATGTATGTATTTTATAAAAAATTTTTTTCAATATTTAAAAACAAAATGAAGTGATAAAAATCTATTCTCAGACATACCGAGTATAAAAATATAAAAAATCATCAAAATCGGTTAAGCCGTTTCGGAATTATGGCAACTGACATTGTGACACGAAAACTTTATATATTAGAGATATAAACAGTACAGGCTCAGTTCAGAATGTATATATGTATATACTAATATTATAAAGCTGAAAAGTTTGTTTGTTTGTGTTTGGTTGAACGCGCTAATCTTAAGTAGTACTGGTTCAATTTCAAAAAATATTTTTGTGTTGGACAGTACATTTGTCGAGGAAGGTTTTAAGCTATATAACATTACGCTACGACCAATAGAAGCGAAGCATCAGTAAAAACGGGGAAAAATATCCATATTTGAGGGCTTCCGTTGCGTGTGCTGCGCTACGTAAACGGTTCAAGTTAACCAAAAAATATGTATTTAGTGTCTTTGATAACCTAGCGTACGAAGTCACGGGCATAGCTAGTATAGTATATTCCGAGTACGGCCTGTCCTGTGAACTGTTGTGTGAGCGGCGTGCTGTGTGCTGGGTGCTGGTCGGCGACGTCCCCGGGGCCCAGGACTCACCCAGTTTCCCGCCACGTGTACACCGCGACCTTTCGGCTGCACCAACTTCGCACATACACCATCTTATCTCCGTTTTGGATCTATTAAGGTCATTGAAAGACAAACAAGTCGATACATGGAGTTACCCCTTTTTGCATTTGTAAATAAAAATATAGAAGTAGTGACAGCACAAAGAAATAATTAATAAACTCATTATATTACATATTCATATATTAATTTATAATTTATAACTATAAAATGCAATAAGTTTCAATATGACTATGTAGTATTGTGTTATCTGTGATATGACTATACTTAACTTAACGCCTGTATAAATCACTGCAGCAATACTGATGTAGTGGAAATTTTGTTAAAAGTATTTCAGGCGGTAAAGCAATCTGTACATATAAATAAAATTGGAGTGTCTTTTTGTAATATAGAAAAAACCGTTTTTTACTACATGTATATGAATATAAATACGGAACATACACCATAATAACATTTTTTTTTAATGTTTGTCTGTCTGTCTGTTTGTTCCGGCTAATCTCTGAAATGGCTGGACTGATTTTGACGGGAATTTCTTTGGTAGGTAGCTGATGTAATAAGGAGTAACTTAAGCTAGTTTTATTTTAGAAAAAGAAAGTTAAATTCCACGCGGACGATGTCGCGGGGTCAGGTAGTTGAAATTAAAAGCAGATTGTAAGCAACTACTGGAGATATTTTTCTATTAGTTTATAGTGGATATGTCAGCCAGAAAGCGTCAGTTCAGTCGAACAAAAAAAAATCATTTTTGGATTTCAAGAATCTATAAAAACAAGCACTGTATCAGTTTTCGTTTTAATAAATAACTTGTTAATATAATATATAGTGCATTTTGTCGTTGTACTTCCGTAAATATGGTTGAGTATAGTGACGTATTAAACATTTAGTTTCAATATGTGTAATCATACATAAGCAGGAAAGAAATACTAAGAAGTGTAATAAAAACCAATAACATCCCTCTAGGATGTTGTACGTAATTGTAATATTTAACATAGTAATCTATGTATTTAACTGTAGAGAAATAAAACGATTACTTTCGCTTTCAATGTGCTTGTATGTGTACAACAAGATCATGTAATCGCTTAATTCCTGACAATGAGCGCTCATGCTGACTTCGGCTGAAGTGATCGTCGCCAACTAACGACTCGTGGTACAGTGCGACAATTACTGCCGCTTACAGCTGCAGCATAACAGACTTAACGAACATTGATTTAGAGTTGAAAATCGAGCTGTGGAGCGTATAATTCCGGCTGTTGAGTTACATCTACTAGATTAATCTAAATTGGACACACTGAGATAATTTAAACGAACCGTACAGATACGCATATTAAACGACATGCATCTAAGAGCTCTTCATGAGAACTATTAAAGTAGTCATGGCTATAGCCTCATAGTTGCTTGATTAAAGCGCATCATCTGGACTTCCTGCTGCTGCATTATTACTGACAGCCGCTTTACTTCCGAAGGTCCCGGATTCCTCGGTATAAACATTTGTATTTAAAAGTATGATTGTTTGTATCGGTTCAGGGTGATTTATATCAAAATTTTATGAATGTATTTACAAACAAAAATGTATATAAGTATTTATACCTGTAGTTTAGTGCCTATAACAGAAGTTTTGCTTAGCTTGAGACTAGATGGCGCTGTGTGAATTGTCCAGGAAAAACTACTATAATTTCCGTAGTATACAGTGAATACTACAAGAGATAGCACGAATAATTGTATGGGCCAGTGTTTTTCAATCTGTGTGTCGCGATCCCTAGGGGGGTCACAAAGTCTTATTCGCGAGGTCGTCGGCTGAAAGGAAAAGTCGAGGTTCATGGTAAAAAAAAACACAATTTTAGTGGGAAGGATAATAAATACATAGATATTTTTTTTTCGTAAATAAATACATATTATATATAGAAAACACCCAGACCGATCATACTCATGAATACAAATGTTTTTGCCGTGCGAGGAATAGAACTCGCGACCATCGGACGTGAAGCGGTGTGCTAGACCGCTAGACCACCGAGGTAATTTTGGTGATATTTTTTAAACGTTAATAATCAAATAATTTTCTAATTGCAGTCTATTTCTCTTTTTAGTTTTAATATCTACCATTGAAGAAAATGTCAGTTCACACAGATATGAAGTGGCAAATGGCACTAATAATGTAAGTCTATGACACAAGCGGAGCGCCAGAATATTTTAACCTATAAAGGGGACGCGAAATCAAAAAGATTGAAAAACACTGGTATAGGCGATAAAATCTTTCGAAGTATCACATCTTAACAATGTTTGCCCACGATTTGCTTTTTGTGCATTCATTAGGAATCTGTAACACATCACCAAAATTTTACACCTACGGAAGTCTTCTGACCTTCTAGAACAGTTTAGATTGGCTAATCACTCCATTACGTACAATCTAACAGCTTAAGACCATACTGGGGCATACCGCGGAAGTGTTTGAACAAAACAAAGTAAGATGCACGCAGCGAGCAGCTGTAATCTATACATATAAATAAAATTGGAGTGTCTGTAATATAGTAATAACCGTTTTTTACTACATGTATATGACTATAAATACGGTACACGAAAATAATATTCTTTTACGATTTTTTTCTGTCTGTCTGTCTTTTCCAGCTAATCTCTGAAATGGCTGCACCGATTTTAATGGGACTTTTATTGACAAGTAGCTGATGTAATAAGGAGTAACTTAGGCTTACTTTAAATTTAGAATTTTTTTTTTAATAATATTGTTAAATTCCCCGCGGACGAGGTCGCGGGTACAGCTAGTTAGCTCTAAATTACTCATGGAATTTATAAATCCGGCATTATTACTCAGTCATGTGGACTGATGTGTGTTCGTTTTTGCGGTAGTGGCGTTCGCGGCCGGACATTGGTTTTATGGTACATATGTAGGTTTCAATTAATTTTCATTTCATTTATTCATAACAATTTACATTGTGTTGAATTTTATTACATATCATAATTTTAATTAATAAATGAGGAAAAATTATACTTTCATAATAATAAATTAACATGTCACGTGCATTGTTACACTTATTTTAAATTCTCCAGCTATTCCTGCGACTTCATCCGCGTGGGATTTAGCTTTATTTTTCTAAAATAAAAGTAGACTAAATTACCCCTATTACATCAGCTATCTAACAAAAAAATTCTTGTCAAAATCGGTCCAGCCATTTCAGAGATTAGCCGGAACAAACAGACAGGCAGACAGATAAAAAATGTTATTTTTGTGTATGTACCGTATTTATATTCATATGCATGTAGTAAAAAACGGTTATTTCAATATTACAAACAGACACTCTAATTTATTATTTATTCATGTGTATGATTGTTTGTATCGGTCTGGGTGTTTTCTATGTATAATATGTATGTATTTGCGAAAAAAAAATTATATCTTTGTACTTGTATCAGTTATCTAGAACCCATAACACAAGCTTCAGCTAACTTAACTTGGGACTAGATGGCACTGTGTGAATTGTACTGAGATTATTATTATTATCCATAAAAAAATACGGTATATATTTTAAATGTAATATTAATTTTAAATCCCATACTACAAAATAAGAAGCAAATTATAGAATGTGTATATGATATGAGGAGGCTGGTTCCGTCCCCAGTTCTATTTCCTAACGCGACACATGCAAATGCGTAGGGAGCACGCATGTGGCGGGTAGCAATTCAACTGAGCTCCACTGACGATGTACAGGAGTACCATAAAACTAATTAAGATGGGAACATGAAGCCGCTGTGATGTGATGCTGCGTCCCGGCCGGGAGCAATGCCCTCACTTCGGCTGATAACGACGCGCCCCGGCATGTATGATTGTATTTTAATAACGTCTAATTATCGCCATCAATGTTCAGCCACCAATGAGTGCCAGTACTCAAAACTATTTATCACTATAAACGCGAATTGACATATGTCCACACTGATTGCTTTTAAATCTTGACGGCCGAGGTGGTCTAGCGGTTTAACATACCGCCATGCTCCCAACGGTCGCGGGTTTGATTCAGCTCACGATACAAACATTTATATTTTTTACTAGCTGCACATGCGACTTCGTCCGCGTGGAATTTAAACTTAATTTTTCTAATATAAAAATCGCTTAAGTTACTCCTTATTACATTAGCTACCTGCCAAAAAAAGTCCTGTCAAAATCGGTCCAGCCATTTCAGAGATTAGCTGGAACAAACAGATAGACAGACAAAAATTGTAAAAAATGTTATTATGGTGTATGTACGGTACATACACCATACGTACGTACATTTATATTCATATGCATGTAGTAAAAAACGGTTATTTCAATATTACAAACAAACATTCCATTTTTATTTATATGTATGTATTGTGGATTATTCTATGTACTATATTATGGATAAGTAATATTGCGTTTTCTGTGTAAGGTAGTAAATTAGGGTACATTTATTTTAGAAAAATAAAGTCAAATTCCACACTGACGAAGTCGCGGAAACAGCTAGTATATGAATATTTGTGAAGTTTTCAGTATAACAAAATTTGAACAGCTCGTCATTACTCCAAACTCCCGCTACGTCAGTTCAATCCATCCATCGATCTACATGTCAATGTCACAGATTATTTAGACTCTGGCCGCTGCCGTTTCGTTTCAGGTTACTCTGAATGCCTTAGATGAAGAACATGATTATTGACTGTACTATTTTTAATTAATGGTTTCAAACGATAGTTAACAATATGTAATGGCAAAACTTGTTATTAATTTTATGTCGAACTGTATGATTTATAACAATAAAATATGCGAATTATCTATGTATCTATGAAAGAAAGTACCTACTGTTTATTGGCCGTAGATTAATGTAACAAATAATTGAGGTTCAATGTTCATTTTATGGCGTAGCGATTTAATGCGGAAAAGGAAAATAGCAACTTCATGACATACGCGGAATTGGCGAATTTGCCGAAGAACATACATAAATTACAGAGTAACTGTTTGTACTATCCTTTTGTTCTTGTCAAAATAAAACAAATATTTTGTACTAACGTAAACTATTTGATTTTCCCTCCTATGATTCATTAAAATTACAGTGCTCTGTGTTATTTTTTTAAAGTTATAAAATACAATGTAGCAAAATGAGGTTGCATACATTTATTAGACAACACCTAACGTCTTAGACAGTAACTATTAGAATAGAATAGACTAGAATTCATCCTTTATTCAAATAAACTTAATTTAAGCACTTTTGAATAGTCATAACATTTTTTTTAATCTACCACTCATTCGGAAAGCTGTCTCATCACAAGCAAGAACGAGCAAGAAACTCGTCTGCTGCTCTTTTAAATAATCCTTGTAAGTTCACATTTTACAAGTCGTGTGAATACAAACTACCAACCAGCACTAATTTATTAGGATCAAATATTAAATACACAATGAGATTAAATCAGTCGTAGTGATAAGAGCAGACCAGTCCCTACAAGCAGCACTAAGACTATTCTGCCGAAACTAGCGCTTAGTTGTCAGAAATAACAAAGGAGTCCCTGAGTGAAACAAGAGATTTGAAAGTGGGCGTGATAACAAATTAGAATGCTAATATAATCACGCGGTCAATGAAACCTGTGTATCATTGAACGAGATATTTCGAAAATTTCGCACAAATGTATATTATTACAAAGGTTGCGCGTGCGACAGTAACAGTAAGTGACAGCTTTCATAAGTTGTGCTTTAATTATCAAAACAACAGTGCTTATCGATTGCCGCGTGCTTTGTTCAGCAGTCGCTTGTCGCCGCGTACTCTGTGGAGACGTAATTTCGCGCGCTACGAGCACAGGGCAGTCGAGTTCGCGCTATTTCGCGTAACACCCGAGGCCGTTCAAATGTTTACAAGTGAAATGTTATAATTGTTAGAGGATACATTATTATATCACATTGTGTCAGTGATAAGAGGAATTTATTAGTTGGTATGTGCGTAACTGGGCCAGCGGTGCCGGTTCATGATTAGATAATGTCAGAATTAAATGCCTACATTTGTATTTAAATCGCGATGTATACCGAAAATATTTTTAAAATAAACAAGCATAATATTATATTGTAAATAAAATTATAGGAAAGATTCAACAGGGTTTAAAATAAAAATATAAACAAATAATTCCACACAACAAACGTGTAGGACACTTGTTTCATTGTTTCATTAAAAAGAAATGTCAAGTTGTTTTAGCAATATTATGATTACAAAATTGATTCAATAATTGGTTGTTACAATTATTCAAATTTTAAACCTGAAACTATGTAGATAACATATATACTATTTATTTTAGGATCCTATAATGAAGTACTAACGTAGTAGATATAGAGCCCCTGTTAAGTGCTATTTCAAAATCAAAAATATATATCACATAATTTACTAATTGTTACATTTATTATTTTGTAGATATATTTGTAACTAGCTGTTCCTGCGACTTCGTCCGCGTGGAATTTAACTTTATTTTTCTAAAACAAAAGAAATTTTCTAAAATAAAAGTAGCCTAAGTTACTTCTTATTACATTAGCTACCTGCCAAAAAAAAATTCCCGTTAAAATCGGTCCAGCCATTTCAGAGATTAGCCGGAACAAACAGGCAGACAGACAAAAATTGTAAAGAATGTGATTTTGGTGTATGTACCGTATTTATATTCATATGCATGTAGTAAAAAACTATTATTTCAATATTACAAACAGACACTCCAATTTTATTTATATGTATAGATAGATAAGCAGGTACGTACTACCCCTTCGTGTTTCAAAGACAGTTTTGTTCCTTAGTGGTTCAAAAAGAGAGTTTTGAAAAGAAGAACTTCGATTTTTTTCAGTCGATATAAATTTCTTCGAATCTGAAACAATGCATTTCGATTTTGGAAAAGTCGGTGATAAAAACTAATTGAATCTTGGGCCCTCAGGCCTTAATATATATATATATACCACAGACTTCATTACATAGTATAAAACAAAGTCGATGTCGCTGTCTGTCCGTCCCTATATATGCTTAAATCTTTAAAACTGCGCAACGGATTTTAAAGCGGTTTTTTTAAATAGATAGAGTGATTCAAGAGGAAGAGTTATACTCGTATGTATAATATATGTACACCGGTGCGAAGTCGGGGCGAGTAGCTAGTAATCTGATAATTTAGAAACAGTTAATTGTTTATTCTCAAAACTACCATAGTGTTGTAGGAGCATTATTGGCGGTGTCTTCCCACGAGTGCAGTGCAGTGAAGGTCCAATGACTAACAAACTGTTTACTTACTTCTGGTGATGTAAGTGTTGAGCCACACGCCAGTGGATCGACCTTATCTGGGATATGCAGTCAACTGTGGTTAGCACAGTGTAGGTTTAATAATAAAAATAGGTTGTTTGCTGTTTTTATTCAGATGACTACATAAGTACCTATAAGTCATGGTCGGTTAGTTCATTTAAAACTGCGGCCGCAATTTTAGTACGTAATTACCCAGTCCACGTATTTAGTGTATGCTCTATTTTATAAGAATCATATTTCAAATACCAAATTAATTTCTAAATTGTCACTGCTAGCTATTGTTCCTTTCGGTTTCCCTTCCTGGCCCTAGTTAGGTGTGTTTCTTTGTCTGTAATATATTATTACTAGCTACTCTATCTATTAAAAAAAGACGTCAAAATCCGTTGCGTAGTTTTAAAGATTTAAGCATATATAGTGACGGACAGACAGCGACAGCCACAGAGACTTTGTCTTATACTATGTAATGATATACATATATTGAACATCTTACAAATCCCTAGTTTCCTTCATTGCTCACACCCAGTTAATATGAGAGCTCGGATTGCTGGCGACTGTTTTGTTGTTAAACCTTGAACTGAGTAGAAATTCGCAGCTCATCATACTCGTGAACGCGTATGATGAGTTGCGTGCTGCTTGTGGGGACTGGTCTGTTCAGGTTACGAACACTATTTTGTTTTTTGCAATAGCACATGCTGGTCACTCTCTTCTCCCAAATTTGAATTTAAAAATTAATCTGTATTACTGTAAACATGTATAACATTTATTTAAAAAGAATACGAGCTGAGTTTCTTATCAGTTCTTCTCATCTCGAAATCATTCCAAACTGACGGTAGATTTGACATATCATAAGAGTCTGTAATAGACCTACGTGAATAAAGATATTTTGAATTTGAATTTGAACACATTGTTGTTTTAGTAAAACGTCTCGAAAATGTTTTACCGTATTTTGTATGAATATACAATTTACTTATAACCATTGTTTGTTGAACGTAAAATACGAATGTCAATGAACTAGGGAACGTTTCAGTTTTTACTCGGTTTCTTTAAGCAGGTAGCTGCGTCTTGATTAGGTTTTTGTTATTGTCATTATCAAAGTTTAATAGAGAATTGAAGTATGAAAAACGTTTAATAGTCACAAACTACGTTTTCGTTGTTATGTTGTTGATACTGGCCGATAATTACAGATGAATGTTTTGTTTAAAAAGATATTAGGACCAATCCTTAGGACATTAGGCATATAGCAGCTCTGATGCCGCTCATCAGAGCTGCTATATGCCTCTATAAGTATATTAAAACTTATAAATTGTCGCTACAGCCCGAACTCTATTAATCTATACACATCTTTACACATATAAATAAAATTGGAGTGTCTGTTTGTAATATTGAAATAACCGTTTTTTTACTACATGCATATGAATATAAATACGGTACAAACTTACACCAAAATGACATTTTTTAGAATTTTTGTCTCTTCGTCAGTCTGTTTGTTCCGGCTAATCGGTTGAAATGGTTGGACCGATTTTGACAGGATTTTTTTGGCAGATAGCTGATGTCAAAAGTTAAATTCCAGAGCGGGCGAAGTGGCGGGCCAGCTAGTTCATAATAATTATGCGTCGTGTGTAGCTGTTTGCATAGACAAGCTTCACTTGTTCCCTGTGATGCCTGCAGTTGGATCGCGACTGGTCCCTTCATAGTAGTAATTGCACTACGGCTATTAAAACGAGACAACTTGACTATAATTCCAAACTGCTCCGTGCATACATACGCGGCGCATTGTGTTGTGGTCTGCGCGCGCGCAGGAGGCGGCGCGGCGGCGGCCGCAACATGTGGTAAACAAGCCATGTTGCAACATTTGTATACGAAATATTTTGTTCCGTATTAATATATACGAGCTGTGCCCGCGGTTACACCCAATTTACATTCTATGTTTTTAATTTGTAGCTATATGTTATTCTGATGTACAAGCTATATTACTGTAAAGTTTCATCAAAATCCGTTCGGTAGTTTTTGCGTGAAATAGTAGCAAACATCCATCCATACTCACAAACTTTCACATTTATAATGTTATTAGCATTTATTATAGTCTCTCATAAAGTGTATTTAGTCTTAATATATCTAATACTAATTAAAGATTGATCCACACTAAACTTTAAAAAAAAAACAAATTGGTTATTAACCTATTAGCGACTGTACATTTTTGGCTGCGAGTGACGACCGACCGCTCTCTGGACGGTTCGTAAAAGGATATGGTGTAATAATAGCTCATTGATAAGAAGATAAAATATTATCTACAAACAAATTATGCAATTTAGATAACATTTTAAATTTGTTATACTGTTACACGTAGATATACTCAGACTCTGCGTATTTTATACTTTTTATTCCTTGTTAGTAGTTGTTTAATGTTTATGATAATAATTTAAGCAAGTGTGTGTCTGTCTATACCGTTTTTATGAGATGTCATAATAATTCATGATATTGTTATAGATATTGATTTGTATGTTATGAAAATATGCCTGAACAAGATGCCTTTTAATGGTATTTTAGGGATTACAATAATTGAAACACTGTGTACACTTGTTACTTAGTCGGCTTCTTCTCCAAGAAGGAAGATGCAAGACCGAACCGTGCCTTTATTGAATATTATACCATAGACAACAATATTCCACAGATATATATTTTTCAAATATTTATCACTATAACTTAACATATCGCTGATTAAATGCCAAAGGGGAACAACGCAAAAGAAACTGGAACTAATTTTTTTTCAAAACTTGTGTCTAAATCGTTACAGTTTTTTATATTAAAAAAAGTCACCCATATTTCTAGAGCTAACACGTAGATATACCACTTATAAATTCGTAAAAAAAGTGAAAATTTTGATGAGCTCTCCTGTAAAATTTACCGTTTGTGTCATGTGGCCTTTTGGCATTTAATCAGCGATATGTACTTAAACTTAGATCCTGAACCTCAGCGGCTAACATATTTGTCATCCTCGATTTGTCGATGATAGAAAATCATATAATATAATACACCCACACATACACAGGTATATCAAATATTGTGCACGTGTTCTTAGAAGTGAGAGTCGAAAATAAACGGAAAATGTCAGTTAAACATAGGTCCGGCGAGTGTGCGACGTGCGCACTAGATACTGCATCACAATATCTTGTGAGATGAGTGGTCGCGAGTGAGAGCCGGGGAGCAGATGCAGTCGGGGCTGTCGACATCTGAACTACTGGCGAAAGGACAGGAGCCACCCGACACGACCCTGAACGACAACAAGGACCGTATAAATACCGTCTGGATTTTGTATAGGAACGAGATTAATTGAATTAAAAAATTATAAATAGCATTTTCTACAAAAAAAAATATTATATCTTAATCTTAATAATACTACCTTTTTTTTAAGATCATTGTATCTTTAGGTAATTTAAATGTATTTACTGTACAATAAAGTATTACAAACAAACAAAAACAAACTACATATATACGCGAAAGTTTGTAAGTATGGATGTTTGTTACTCTCTCACGCAAAAACTACGGATCGAATTTTGATGAAATATTACAGTAATATAGGTTATGCATCAGAATCACATATAGGCTATATTTTTTATTGAGATTTATATATTGAAATTAAACGCGGTTGAAACCGCGAGCACGAGTAGTTATCTTTATATAATAGAATAGAAAATCATTTATTCAAATAAACTTACATTGAAGTACTTTTGAATAGTCATCACATTTTTTTAATCTACCGCTCATTCGGAAAGCTGTCTCATCACAAGAAGATAACTTAAAATAATAAATAATTAATAGAATATGCATTACTTACATGCATTTTATCAATTCAGATAGTTTATTAATATATGTACATAAACATAACAATAATAGTTTAGTTATAAACACAGCAATTCTCTTAAGACATTCTGTGTTTAAACTTAACGATTATTAACTCAACTTTTGAGGTCAATACGCAAACCAAAATGCACAATAGGCCCACACGAACAGCGTGTTCATTGCGAACATTCTAGCATTCCTGTATAAATTATAGCAATTGGTAGGACACGTAGTATAAGTAAATAGATATGTCGTGGTGGTGCGGTGGACGCTAGTGGGATGTAGCCGGGACCCGGGGGCGGCGTTCGGACACGGGCGGGACCCTCACCTTTGGATTCAAAGCCAGTTGTCAAGGTGAACTGCATACATAACTAAAAATAACTGCGATAGCAAAGTAATAGTCCGCGCGGGCCGACATGCGCCGCCCCGCTGCCGCCGCACCGGCGAAAGTGTCAAGTCGAGAAGACTTAAGGTTCTTTTTAAGACTACTCTAATGCTGTTGGCCGCAGCTGGCCTTCACAGCTTCACAGGACGATAGGGGGTGAGTGCAGATGGCACTCCAAGCAAAGGAGCGGCTGAAGGCCAACTCCCGACTGACGGATACGATTTTAGTCTGAGGGCACCGCTAAGGGTCCGTACCTCGGTTAAGGTTGTTATTCCGATCCCCGTTTGAATTAGATGGGGGATCGATTGGAGGTGTATATAGGTCGGCCGATACCTTTATCGCATTAATACTTACGTTACTACTGCACGATGCACTTGACCTTGATACTTCATATCCGAAATGTACATTAAAATGTCCTATATCCGTATCTATACATATAAATAAAATTAGGGTGTCTGTTTGTAATATTGAAATAACTGTTTTTTACTACATACATATGAATATAAATACGGTACATACATCAAAATAACATTTTTTACAATTTTCGTCTGTCTGTCTGTCTGTTTGTTCCGGCTAATCTCTTTTTTTGGCAGGTAGCCGATGTAATACGGAATAACTTAGCCTACTTTATTTCAGAAAAATAAAGTATACCTAATTAACTTTTTTGGATGTTTCACGCTTTAAATTCCACGCAGACGAAGTCGCGGGTACAGCTCGTTATATATATAAATAGAAACAAAACTGATAGGGAAAATTATTCGAAATAGATAGTCGATACTCTGTAGGAGGTAGGTATTTGAAAGCATTTTAATAAAACATTGATAAAGTTATTAAACGTAATAGGTAATTGAACAGTTGATTAGAATTCAAGCTGAGCAAAAAATATTCAATCAATTTGTGATATTGATATGTAGGCTGAACACGTCAGTGTTCCGATCGTGTTCAAGTGTGTTCAATATTCATCAAGTGAACAGTGAATATAGTGAAACGGTGCACGCGCCGTAAGTCTGCATCTCTCCGCGGTTACTCTGTGCAGTGTGCAGTGTGCAGTGTGCAGTGTGCAGTGCATTGTGACGACATGCAGGTGAAGGATCACGTACTCCAGTGGTATTGGTACTTAGTGCATTGAAGGAGATACCGGCACAACGCCGGGCGCAGCCAGCTGCAGGATGCAGTCAGGTTCGCTGCAGACGCAGCGCAAGATCACGTGGGTGGTTGAAGTGGGAGAGGTGCCCCAATACGCCTTCGCCCCCTACGAGAAGCACGTGAACCATAGCAAATGTAAGTTTGTAAATAAAACACTCTACCAATAAACTCGTAGATATGTTATCTCAGAACGCGGTGATATGTTTTCATATTATTTTTTAATTTTATAATAATACTAGCTTTTACCCGCGGCTTCGCTCGCGTTAATTTATGCCCTAACTGGTGGAATTTATCAAAATCCTTTCTTAGGGGATGGCTACGTCATAGTAGCTTTATGCATGCAAAGTCTCAGCCCGATCGGTTTAAAATTGACAAAGTTTCATACAAACTTTCATCCCCTACTTTATCCTCTTGGGGGTAGAATTAATCAAGATCCTTTCTTAGCGGATGCCTACGTCATAACATCTACCTGCATGTCACATTTCAGCCCGATCCGTCCAGTGGTTTGGGCTGTGTTGATAGATCACTATGTCAGTCAGTCACCTTTGAGTTATATATGTTAGTGTTTGGACTCGTAAAGTGAACTAATTTATTTTTATCTATACATATAAATAAAATTGGGAGTGTCTGTTTGTAATAATAAAATAACCGTTTTTTACTACATGCATATGAATATAAATACCGTACATACACCAAAATAACATTTATTACAATTTTTGTCTGTCTGTCTGTTTCTCCGGCTAATCTCTGAAATGGCTGAACCGATTTAGACAGATAGCTGATGTTATAAGGAGTAAATTAGGCTACTTTTAGTTTAGAAAAATAAAGTGAAATTCCACGCGGACGAAGTCGCGGGGTCAGCTAGTTTATTTACAAAATTACATGCTCTCGGTGAGTATTACAGTACAATATTAATGCATTAGTGTCACCATGGAATAAACGTATGCAATACATACATTAATAATAATAGATTATGTTATCTGTGATAATAGTCATAATAACAATAAGATCATAAAAAAAATTAAGAAATAAAATAAAAAGAAAAGAAAAACAGCAGCTATACAAATAACAATGATATTAATAATCTAGAGATATACTGTGACTCCTCAAAATTCGTTACCGCTCTGTGCACTCTGTGGCAGTACAACTAAATAAGTCGAGTGGAAAAATAGTACGAGTAGATAACTATAATGATAAATCTAATGATTGCAATGTACCACGTCAGGTTGATTTCCACGCGGATTCCGGATAAACTCCTGGTAAATTTGCCAAGATGGGATAACTGACCTGACCTGACCTGTCCTGACCTGTTCAGCGCAGTCGGGAGCATAAATACATTATCATCCATAAAAAAGGCGTTATATCTATTCAAATACAAAACAATAATAATAAAATAAGGTATCTATTAATTGTCTTACAAAAAATAATAAATAATCTCATTATAGCAATATCTAATCTAATCTTATCTAATCGAAATAGGTAAATATATAAAGAGTACGTTGCAACAAATTTCTATATTTGAGAGGATACAATACCTACCCCAATACGTAATCATGAATGTTCGCAGATTGGATGATTAGGGTAAAGTTATTGTCAGGGTAAATAAACTGGTTGGTGTAGGTGGATCACAGCTGGAACAGGTTTAATATTAAATATGAGGGTGATGAGGGTATAGGTAGCAACAACTCAATATTGCTCCCGCGTTGAGCACTCGACCCATTGGTTCTGCTGCTTGATATTGCATCTCTGTGCATTTTCTACCGCATATATCACGGGGAGTGTTTTGAGGAATTGTTCGGACTAATACCAGCTGCTGAGTTTCACCACCGTACCACCCGCCAGAAACTGAAATACCATCCTGATAATCTGGATGAATGGCGGTCCTCCACAGTGCGGTTTTCAGTGAAACTTTTTGCCACGCACAACCACATTGTGGAATCACCTTCCAGCAATGGTATTTCCGAACCGATACGATATTGAAACCTTCAAGAAAAGAGCTTATTCCTGTTTAAAAGGCCGGCAACGCACTTGCAATTCCCCTGGTGTTACGGGTGCTCATGGGCGGCGGTAAGCACTTACCATCAGGTGAGCCGCATGCTTGTTTGTCCCCTGTGTTATAAAAAAAAATACTATCTCGCGAGCCAGACTGATTGGAGAGTTTATTTATGTAAACATAATGATTTAAATCATATGACAACTTGTTGACGCACTGATGGCGTCTCTGAAATTAAAACTAATACTATATAAGTTTTGCTTTCCTTTCTCCACAATATGTAGTGATACACTCTAAAATTCAGGTTTTAACAATAAATATCCACAATAAGGTTTTAATTTGACACTTTTATGCCTTTTATTTAACTGTTCTTTCTTTTTATATTTCGACGAGTCAAGGAAGGGTCCACAAATCTTGAGTTTCAGTCTTCTATTCACGCTCTATTTATCTCATCTTTACATTTTATATGAATGTAATAAAGCCCGTAATTATATTATTAAAAAACGAGTATTAAAAAAGTTATTTTCTTGTTCTATAAAAATAATTCTAATTCAGCGCCATCTACATTGTGTTAATAGAATCATAATTCTGTACTGCTACATCTTAAATAGCGATAATATAGAAAGAAAAACAAGATGGTTAATGGTATAATTACCATATAGTATTAAAATAAATTAATTCAACATGGAATATACGTATTATGTAATGATAACGATACTTATTTAATATGTAAGTCTCATAGAACTAGGTAGTGTTGCCAATTAAGTGGATTTAGTGCCAAATAAGCAATTCAAAACAAATGATTTTTTTAAGCCTTATTCAAGGTATTTGTCATTTTTGTAAGCAATTTTGCTTCTTAGTATATACTGTATATTTCAATTTCTGCAAACATAATTATTTATTATTTTTCACTATTATTAAACGACTTAAATCACGGGTTATTAAGTTCAGTATAATATTATGATTGGAAGTGCCACAAGCATTATTTAACTAATAGCATACAAGTATTACGTTTCTTGAAAGTTAATGGCCCGTAAGCCAGGAACAGGTCTAGGTAACCAATTTCCTCCAGATCCGAAACTTCTAAGATGGTTAACAAAGTTGTGTTATGAAACTTGGTTAAAGTCAGCTGCGGTTCCGAGGGTGGGTTGAGGGCTATTATTATCAATGGTCAAATTGTCGGTATTATAATTAAATATCTTTTGATGAGGCGTATCTCACCATATTACAGCCAACTGACAATTTTATTTATCCCAAATAGCATATAAATTAACGTCTCACAAATTTTATAGTAAGTAGTTTTTTTTTACAATATGTAGGTTTAACTATAATTTGATACCAATATGAACCTGAAGGAAGTAATATTTTTTTACAAGAGTTCTTCATGATGGTTGCATTGCATCGCAGTCACAACATATTGTACCAAGTATCATGATACAACTTTATTCAGTATCTTAAAAGTTTTCGACCGGGAAGAAATAAGTGACTTAAAAAGCCTACAGTTGATGCAGAAAAAAATACTAAAGTTGTTACAGGTAAAACAAATATATATTATGTTAAAGAAAAAAAAAATATATTTATATGCTGCGTTTTAAGTAAGTACCGGCATTTGGCTAAGTTTCTTTATTTCATATTCCAATGAATATTGGGCATAGCTCAATATTTTCAGATTCAAATTTCATAATTCAAATAAATTTATTCATGTAGGACATTTTAGACGCGTATAAACGTCAATTTTTTTATATCATATTTTTTCCGCCTACCGTTTAAAACCATTATACTATGGTCCCCTGTAATTCAACTGTTATATTTTATAATGCAATATAACTATTTAGTATTATTAATCAACTAATAACGCCCACAAAAATAATAATTATCTCTACTTAATGACACCAAGAATCTCAATTAAAACTGCGCCATTTGTTTCTAATTTGCTGGATAAACCAAAACGCGGATATTAATACAGTGTCATTTCTGGACAGATTACAGTGATTCTGTTTTAAACGTTTGTTACGTATAGAACATTTCTGAAATAATGGTTGTATATTTAATCTTCCTACATAAATGCCTAAGTAATTGAATTTTTTAATAATATAAAATACTAAAAATACCATTGTAATTGTTAGTAATTATAAATTAAAACATACTGAAAGGCATTTTGAGCTAAATAAAATATTAGACACCGTTTAATTTACTTTTTGGCATTTTAATTATTACACAGTTGGCAACACTGAGTCTGTCTACTGACTTGTCACTTGACGTTACTTCAACTTGACAGTTGTCAAGTTGTGTTTGGTGTCGGTGTCGGAGTGTCGTTGTGTTTCGTTCTTCACGTTTCATATGAAGCTACTTTTTAACCGCGATGTTTTCCGCGCTTTCTATTAAAATGTCTTTTCCATGACATTTCTTGTACTTACACTTGAATAAACTATTTTACGAAAACTAGCAGTGTGCGTTTAGTGGATTGCTTTCGTTCATTTTAGCGTTTCAAAGTTTGGACAAAGTTTACGCTTGGGAGTGGCGATCCGTGTGTGTGTGTATGTGTGTGTTGTCATGTCGGAGAGAAACTTTTTAGGCTTAACTTTAACTTGATTGGAAAAGCCAAAAAGAATCTTCGGATATTTGTTGCGAGAATGGAGTCTAATATTGTTGGTGAGTATTATATCAGGGTGGGCGTCTCTGCGGCGCCTGCCTCCGTTAAGTAATTACATTGCCGGAGACCTTGAGCGGTGATCTGCGATTCGACTTGTGTTTGTTTTAAGTTACTAAAGTGATGCAACGACACGGGCCCGCGGCGACCGCGGCCCGACCCGTCGCTGTTACCGATGCTTTTATTTACGACTACGATTAAAAATCCCGCCCGTCGGCACTATATTATCTTATCTGACGGTACACACCGTGTTGATAAGCCTAAAACTTATAATGTTTGCTCTCACCATCATGTTTATCATATTATAAACATTCACAGATGCCTGCTTAAGACAACCTGGTTAAATTTTATAGAATGAGAGGTCAGTGGGTAGTCAGTCATATTGGTCTCTGCATACAGAGACCAATATTCTCTAAACAGACAATGTCTGTTCAGAGCTACATATATTTAGCAATTTCTATTTATTTGGTGAAGTTAAAATACTATAATTGA